CAGAAAATTTATTTAATCACAAAGGTTGCAGAGCTGAATGCGGTGTCGGTTCTGATTATGGGAGAAGAGGAATTAAAAGAAAAGAAACGGCAACAGTGTAGCCGAAAGGATAGGCCACCCCTAGCCTCCCACTTTTGAAAGCCCAAAAGTCGGCCATTGTTCAAGTATCTTGGTTTCCACAGGGAATCAGATAGTACCCAAACAAGGAAAGAGATCTGAATACCTTGCACCAAATGGTGAAGCAATACGCGGATAATATAACTCGGAAACAAAACTTTATATGTTTCCCGTGTAAACAGTTCTTGGTGTTCAAGAAGGCATAAAGTTTCAGTTTCTCCTGTAGCAGTCCCAAACTCCAAATTCAGTTCCCACTAGTACCATTTTCTTGACTGGTACCGATGATTAATAGCTGCAGGACCAATGTGTCCTGTAAAGTAAAGCAGTTTCAGCAACTTGCAAACAATTTGTCTGTCAATGTCAGTCACTGCACGAAGCTTCAATAGTTCGCTACTTTCTGATTGGCATGCTAAGTGTCATGGCATGTCCATACTAAAGTTTTCAGTATGTGTGCATGATGGTGCTGAGGGGAGTAAGAATTGGTCGAGCATTTACTGAGGTAAAAAGAATAGTGTTCCATATAATCATAATCCATTACTTCAACATATATTGTCTTCAAATACTACCTCCATTCTAAAAAGAATGACATTCTAGGTTTGGACTAAGTCAAAATATTTTAAAATTTGACTAAGTTTATAAAAAATATTATTAACATTTGTATCTCCAAATAGGTCTATTATAAAAATATATTCTATGATTAAACTAATGGTACTTTATTACGCATCATAAATATTAATACATTTTCATAAATATTTGGTTAAACTTGATATTTGTTGACTCCTCGACGAGAATGACATTCTTTTATTGGGGTGGAGGGAATATAAGGATTCATTGTCTGGTCGTCAAATCAGATCTGCTATTGCAACAGAAAACAGTACTGAAGCATTTCTCGGGAAAGGAAACATACTTTAGACTGGAATACTGGATGACACTTCTAACACATAGTTGTAAAATCCTTGATGCATAATAAAGGATGGTCAAAATTTTAGAACAAACCCACTATGAAAAGTAACCTAAGGATAAGTGAATTACTAGGCTGAAGCCAAGGCTCAACTACAATTTGGTCCATTAGGAAAAGGTAGCACTACCTTTCACCTGCTAACTTCAGAGAGTTGAGACTCAGACTGCTATCTTGACTCTTTACTACTGTCACTAGACCTGGTGAACAAAAAACTCATGTCACTAGGTACATACTAGTGACAGACAACTATAGCAGCTTAATATGCAGGGTGCAGAACATCATCAGCTGTAAATGTAATTATTTCGATCAACTTCTAGTTCTGATAAGTGATAACATTCTCACAGCCTACAAGTAAACATGTGCCTTCATAATCGCAAACCATTGTGAAGCTTGTCTTATTATGTTACAACCAAATGGTAAGACATTTCATCTCCAGTTGAGCATGCTAGAACTGCAATGGTTAGAACTTAGAAGGTATGGATAGTATACCATTTACAACAAAGAAGACTCTACTCAGTACGAGAACAAACATTGGGGGGAAGACAAACTTGCTCCTTCAATATTCTTGTTGTATATCCTTGTTTAAGACTAAGAATAACTTGGGCAAGCAAATAACGTCATGGAAGATGCATGCCTGCAGAGCTTGCAGCAATGACGAGAAAAACATGACAAAATGCAATCTTCATCAGGAAAAAAGCAAATTATGAAACTGAGGTCTACATCAAACCAAAAGTTTATTCTCTCTTTATTCATTGGACCCCAAAAGCAGATTTCTAAGATACAATGAGGAAACGCACATGTTTAACATGCTTATTACTTTTCTCAGTGCAAATCGATAAAGCAAGAAATCTTGTTAGCTTCTCCTAGCCTCCAAGAACTGCTATCTAGCTCGTTATTACCAACACGTAATGCTATAGCAATATCAATGTGATAGTGTTCTCTTACTATATTTTAGAATCCAATACAAAACAATACCTCTATTTTTCAAGAAATTAATTTTACCATGGATGGACAATGCGTACGAAATAATGGTATTAAGAAGCTAACTTACACAATCAGATAAAACTTCTAGTCATGAAACATCATCTATTTGATTTTTTTTCTCGAACACGCACTTAGGCGTGTGTACATCACCTATTTAAATGGTTGATTTCTCTTGACAGAAGCAACATCATGATACCAGCATCATAGTATCCAGCTCCATGAAAAAGGAAAAGATGACTATAAGAGATAAAAAGGAGCTGTCATTTTCAGTTATGCTACAAAACTGAATGGCGTCAAAAGAAATGGCAGCATTAAAGCAGAATTCTAAATACAGGGGCTGTGGACGGGGTTTTCAACTCGTCTGCCCCACATGGATGCAAAATGACATACTGAATATAAGGTAATAAAGAGAGTGCAATCCTAATCTAGTCAGAAAGGTTCACATCAAAATGGTGCATGCATTTTATTCACTCACACGTATAGCTAGTTTCAGACCACTCATGTGAAAAACAATGTTAAGAAGATATCATTATATTTAAATAATATAATTAAAATCTGCTAATTTTAAAAGTAAATAGGAAATAAAATTTACTATTAGAAATTAATATTAGATGCCAACAGCGAGATTTTGCCCCTACATTGGCCATGAGTTCCATATGGCAGAAGCAGAAACAGAACTCCAATCAATGAATTGAACTTTGCTTTTTAACTCTCTTAGGGATGTTCTGCTAAAATTCTTATGCTGCACAAAAGTAAGGTAAGTAGGAGCGAGTGGTTTCTTGATTCCTTCCTCTGCACTTATTGTTGCACAATTTTTGCAAAAAATGACTGCAAATACAACTAAAAAACATAAAAGCTCATGTTAATTTAGAAGTGCATTGGCTGCTCCCATTTGCTTATATTATTAGAAAAACAACAAGCTTGAGCTTAACCCAAGAAATAAATATAAGCCCCTCACAGTTGACTCTGGAATGAAACTCCACTTCAAGCTTCAGGTTCATAAGCACCATATCAGCATATTGGACATCCTCAAGATGCACTCCCAGTTCACATCTTAAGGCCAGGGTTTTGTGAACAGGGTAGTATGCCTTCACAAAGGAGTCTATCGCAGTGAAAATTATTTTACTGAGAGTATCCACTTTTACATCTTCATTTACACAATGAAAGAACTATGCCATTAAAATTACCATTTCAAGACCCTTTCCTGATCATACAAGTTTTCGCCTTCAAGGCGCTGTATATAAAGCACAAACAAATGCCTTCATGAACCAATTATCTTATATATAAACAACCTCACACTCTCAATGAACAGGTTCTTCCTTAGTTCAACGGAAACTAATAGGCAGATGATGAACGGTGACCAATAGAGGCATACCTCAGTATTAATAAGATTTCGACACATAAACAGCACCACCGACTGTTTTATCGTTGGGGATATTATGTGTGTTACATCAAAGTGTCATGCACAACACCAACTGTATTAATAAGATTTTGGCACATAAATGAATCTGTCTAGTCCTAAAGTTAAGATGCTTTTGTCCACCGATAGGTAGAAGATTACAAGTAGAACAGCCCAATCAGATTGAAATCAAGTATCAGTGCAACACTACTGATTAAGCAAACCTTTCTGTTATCAGATAAGAAAAGGCAGGCTCTATATTTTCCATCCAAGTGCCGGAGCACACACGAGACACTACAACACACCGCGCCATATTCTCATTTCGCCAAAAGGAGACAATGCTGTGCTGCCTAAGATGTGTGCTCGCAACAACAAATGCCACACAATCAAATAACTTCAATAGTATTCCATTTTCATACTTCCCGATCAAACGTTACGTTCGGTTAAACCTTGCACAGTTAAATTGACTGGATGAAACGAGGGGCTGATAGGTGAAACAAGCATACCTGTGCGTACGCAAACCATATGAAACTCTTTGAAGCAACATGATGGCTGACGCCCTCAGTTTGATCAGCAACCGTGGGTTGCTTTTACTCGCTACCGTTGAGCACATTGTAACTGGTGGGTGGTGGCCACGTACCGGAGGACGCGTGAGGTTGGTCAGGAAGAGCCGAAGGGGTGTTCCGTGTGGAGGCGGAACGCGAAGGGGATCGGACGAGAAGGCGAAGCAGTGGCGGACTGTGAGATGGGGAGTGGAGGTTGGGGCAGCAGCGGCCGACCGCACAATGCGCGTCGATCGCGCGGCGGGGGCGCACCCAAACCGATGTTCTCCGGCCCGGCGCCGAACCCAGCAGCCGTCAGCGCGTCGGCGACGAGCGGGGTTGGAGGGTAGAAAAATTGGAGCGCAGCGCCATGATCGCGGGCATGATCGCCGGCCCGTCTGGCCTGGTCCCGTCGCGAACGCCGCCGCCGCCACCACGAGAAGAGACAAGTCAAGGGGCCCGTCCATGGAATCGGACTTTCTAGCTGGGCTTTCGGCCCAGCCCCAAAATGCGAAGCTGCCACATTCAGCTCCCCTAGGCGAGCCAGGCGCCTATTTCGAATTTTGCAAGAAAATTTGGCGCCCAAAGCCAGATTCGCAACGCAGAGGGCGAAAGCGCACATCGCGAAATTCGATTTACAAGAGAACCTGGCGCCCATATCCAATTTCAAACCAGATTCACATTTCACAGGGTGAGCGTGCGGCGATGAAAAAAATCAGAGCCACCATACAGCTCTGAACAAGTGCACAGATTTGTGACATCAGTAACAAAATCAGAAGGACAAAGATGCAGTCGTAACTAGAACACAGATCCATTTCATTCCTCTCGCATTCTTCCATTACACCCCACAGAACAGATAACTTTGCACAAGACAACCAGAGACCACAGACACCAGACAGAGCGAAACCCTAACAACTGCTAAACATAGCATCACCGATGCGCACGGGGACCAGGAACAAGAGATGCCGCCGGAGAGGGGATTGCGGGCGGACCGAGCCTAGCCGCCGAAGCCGTAGAGGGTGCGGCCCTGGCGCTTGAGCGCGTAGACGACGTCCATGGCGGTGACAGTCTTGCGGCGGGCGTGCTCCGTGTAGGTGACGGCGTCGCGGATGACGTTCTCGAGGAAGATCTTGAGCACGCCGCGGGTCTCCTCGTAGATGAGCCCGGAGATGCGCTTCACGCCGCCCCTGCGCGCCAGCCTCCGGATCGCCGGCTTCGTGATGCCCTGGATGTTGTCGCGGAGCACCTTGCGGTGGCGCTTCGCGCCGCCCTTGCCCAGACCCTTGCCTCCCTTGCCGCGGCCCGACATGGCTGAGAGCGAGGAGCTCGAACCCGAGAGGAGATTGTGGAGGTGGATTTGGAGATTTGAGGACTTGGTGGTCGAGGGGCTGGGCTGGGTGCTATTTATAGTAGCTGGTGGGGCGGTGGCACAGGAAGTGAGGGGGTGCGATCCGTGGGAAGTGGAGTTCGGCGCGTCGGATCCGTGATGGATGGCTGGGGGTGCGTGGGAGCGGGTGGGGCGGATCGGTGACGTGGCAGGGACACTGGACGGATCCGCGGGAGGTGGTTGTGCGGCGTCGGATTGGTTCGTTGGGGTGGACGCGGATCGCTGACGTGGTTCCTGGAGTGGGCTTGAGATGGGCCGGGGAATGGGACTATGGTAGATTGTCGCGTCGCCGATGAATCCATCAGGCCTGTTGTCATCTGAAAAGCATCTCCTTTGCTAATGAAAAACATATCCTAGATTCCATCGGTATCTCACTCTCACTACGTAAAAATCCGAAGTACTCCGTATCTCAATAGTACAATCCTAGTCTAATTAGGCTTAAAAGATTCATACGTACATAATTTGTTTTATTTTTTAGATATTTAGTCCCAACATCATCTTGAAAAATTTTGACAATGCCAAGACCTCACGTAAAAACCAATCAATACCTAGTATCTCTCAAGATATAGTCCCAACATCATAGTTTAATGAATATCAGTGTCTTTTGTGTCTTTTGAAGAAAAAAAAAGGCAATTTCCTCTTGAGAAATTTGCATGACTAGAAAACAATGGTCATATATGTGCTCCAAATGTTCATCTTCTGCGATCAAGCCTTGTTTTTTTATATACTTTCTAGCAGAAGATCCATATTTCTTCGAGTGGAAAAACTGTCTACAAGAACTTGATAATCTCACATGTCATTTTAATTGTCTACAAGAAAGATGGTATTCACATCACCAATGGTCAATGAACAAAAAGCTATCAAACGAATGCATAAGGCCCCCAATACTTTGTCGCGTGACAAGTTTTTTTAAAGTCGCCATGTCATATGAATATAGTTAATTTATTCTTTTCTTTTGTAAGATGCAACCTAAGGCCCTGTCCACTTCCCCAGGAATGACTCCCAGAAAGAATTTCGGACCAAAATTGTTAGTTAATTTATATAAGCTTTCATTAGTCAGAATGATTCCTGGCGTCATTCTGCCCTAACCAAATGAGCCATAAGATTCTAACTTCTTGGTTCATGACCGACGCGTGGTCTATGAATTTGTAGATTATACAAAATTGATTTTATTATATTCATGATTGAGGGCAACTTCATGGTCTTTATAATATTATTACTCCCTCCATTCTAAAAAGAATGCAATTCTAGGTTTGGAATAGGTCAAACTTTCTTAAGATTGACCAAGTTATAGAAAATTGTATCAATATTTATTTCTCTAGACCCTTCAAAAAATATTTATTTCTCTAAATAGATTTAATATGGAAACATATTTCATAATTAATCCAGCACTAAATACTTATTTCATATCATAATGTTAGTACTTTTTGTATATATTTGGTAAAACTTTATATTGTTTGACTCCTAGGGAAGTGATAATTACTTTTTTGGGGCAAAGGGAGTATAACGCATGAGGATGTTAAGATGACAATGGAGGCAACACGGGGGCAAACCATATCTTGCATTTTTGAAAAGGAGTTTACTCCTGTTAATTTGAAATATATAGAAAAGAAGACTTAAATATATCATAAGTTTATTATATGATGAGTTGTTAAAAATCTCTAAGTTTAGTCAAAATAGTTTGACTTATTAATGTCCATGATTTTATCTATGGGATGTATCATATAATGCACCTCATAGCAGAATAGATGGAGAATTATGGCATGGAGGCCCAACAAATGCTAGGCATCGAAACTCCAATAAAATTCAATGATGTGAGTATATATGAACTCTAATTAAAGTGATTCTTCATGCATTGTGTTGATAACTCACTATGTGATGCACTCCACCAAATTCCTTCCATTTTCTTGCCATTGTTTGTAATTTCATGCATCTATTTCCTCCTTTAGAGAACAACGCTCAAGAGTGTTGCCATCTTGATTATTGGTGTTAAACCTGACGTGGTAATTGCCTTACATGGCGCCTGAGAACAAAGACAACCACCTATTGTAATAAGCATATTTGAACTCCTACTTTAGATTGATTGGATAATGTTTTTATATTGTTTGTACATGGGCTTATCTCTATACATAGTCGAGTTTTTGTGTTTACCACTTCTTAAGAGTGAATCATGTTACCTTGATAACTCGAACTTAATTTAGACACATCATGATTGATTGCCTAGGTACACTTTGGCAATATAAGTTGAGAGGTGGAAGACAACCCTCAGTTTCATTCTAGTTGGAATGAGCTTGCTTTGGCCATTTAGAAGTGTGTCAACACTCAACACTAGTGTAAGGATCATGTGCCCACGTGCATGACTATGTGTAGTTTTGGTGATTTAGATGATAGCCCAACTATTAAGGCTAATATGTGTGTTAATGTGTGTTAGACATGTTATACTAGGTCATAGGGATGCACGTGAAGAGATGGCACGAAGATTCTAGAAGAGACCGCGAAGAAATAAAGATGCCGATGCAGATTGATTTGTTCGACGACCATGGAATTGAGCTCACGTAACAAACTGTCTTTGTGTTTGACCAACCACTTTTGTTGAGTGCAATTTTACTAATAACAATTGAAAGGTCCGAAGGAGAAGTAATGAGTGTCGGACAAATGGAGATCAATCGAGCGATCCACATAGCAGAAGGAAACTTGGAGCTATAGTGTATGTTTGGTATCCAGGCCTATACAATGTATCTTAGACATGTTTTGGTTGCTCAAAGCAGGATCATTGTAGTATTAGCTCATACCCTAGATTTGGTCATATTGGGCAATACAGATTTACACAAAACCGTCGCAACACACAAAAATAGATGTGACTATATGCAGCATAATATAAGCAATCAATCAAAATTTTATCAAACACGGCTTGCCTATACAAAGACAACTAATAAACACCAAGACATTGCATAAATTTGTGCTAACTTGGGTTGCATTGCATAAGGTCTATACAAACTAAAGCAAGCAACCAATTACACATATGACAAATGTTAAGCAGATTGCATATTTAGCACTATTTGCGGCAATTGCAACACGATCGGTGTTAGTAGCGGAAAGAATATCGTCACTGTTCAATCATCCGTAGCTCAAGGTCGCTGAAACTGAACAGGTGCAGTGGCCACTGGTCGCGCTTCTGGTTTTATCTTATATAAGCACGTGAACTGTTCAGAGTGAAGACAAGTCATATGAGTTACATTCAACAGGAACTTGATCATGAACGATAAAAGGTGTCGAGAGGTGTTCCCTAAATATGGTGAGCTGTCCATGATTCATTTGCGGCACATATGCTAGAGGCAAGTGAGAGAGACATTGATGACCACGTGTCTTCTATGCACATGCAGATTAGAAACACATCAGCGACCCATATCTCTCTGCACACTGAACCTTTGAAACCTCATCTTCAGTTCAGAAGCCAGATCACCCCTGCCCATCTTGTGCAGATCCTTGGTCACTTTAACATAAGCGGAATGGTCAGGTCTGAGGCCCTTCTCCATCAGCTCATACAGGACTCTGCCCGCATCAGTGGTCCTCCCTGACTTCCGAAGCAGCTTAGCGAGCAGGCTGTAGTTCCGGTTCACAGAATGCCTGTCCCTGGTGCTCATGGCACTGACATACTTGCAGGCATCTTCTATTCTCCCAGCGTAGAAGTACCCCTTGATGAATGCAGAGTGTATGGTGATCCTCGGCGTCAGGTTTTCCGAGAACATCTGATCAAGAATCTGCATTGCCGAATCCATCTTCCCTGCCTTGCAGGCATGGTATGTGAGGATCTCGTACGTGAGTGAGTTCGGGATCTCACTGCGCTTCAACCTCTCCATGGCCTCAACAAGCCCGCACGCCTCAGCGAGCCTCCCGTTCTTGAGCAGGCAGCCGAGGAGGTAGTTCCAGGTGTTGGAGTCAGGGTCAGACCCCGACCTCCTCATTTCGTCGAACACCTCGCGGGCGCCGACAAAGTCGCCGGCTTTACACTTTGCCGCGACGAGGACGTTATAGTACCGCACCTTCCTCGCCGTCTCCTCGATCACCGAGACCGCGGCATCGAACTCGCCCATGGACGCCAGCGCCTTGACAAGCGAGAACACGCCGGACGCGCGGCAGGGCCCGCCGACGCCGTCCAAAGCCCCCAGGACCGCTCTCGCCGCATCCTCCACGCTGCCGCTCCGTGACGAACCCGACGACGGCGCCAGGAAGGCGAACGCCCGGTCGGTCAGGGGGAGCCTCCGCTCCGACATGAGCGCCAGGGCGCGCGACATCGCGCCGTAGTCGCCCAGCCTCCCGGCATTCTCGACGAGCAGGTTGTGCGCGCGGGGGCACTGGGAGAATACCCTGCCGAGAGAGGAGGCCCACGCGAAGAAGCGCTCCGCGGGAACGGCGCGGTCCGTGAGCGCGCGGAGGGCGCTGGAGACAAGCCCGTGGGAGAGGGCGGCGGCAAAGAGGCGGTCGAGGTCGGCCTCGAGGCCTCCGCCGCCTGCGGCGACGAGGCGAACGATCGCGTCTGAAGCGGCGGCGTCGGATCTGTCATCCGCGTCGCTGCCGTGGGGAACGGAGCGCCTGCCGGAGAATGCCGCACGGGAAGGGACGTGACGGAGGGGAGCGCGGACGAGGCGAGGGAGGGGGAGCATCAGATGGCCAGACGGCTGCGCTGGGCCGAGTCGAGGCGGCGGCCAGTCGGGTCGGATGGGTCGAATGGATGGGGACGAGGTTGTGAGTGAAAAAAATTTGTATGCATGCGAGTGATGCAAATCAGCACCGGTGCAGTTCATTTAACTCCTCTCTCGAACCCTCTCGTGGCTACAGTTCAGAGAGGCGAGAAAGAGGCGCCCGGCTTCTCGGTCTCCGCCGGGGGAATCCGTGGTCTTCCTCGTCTCCGATGGCCTTCTGGGCGTCAGGAGGTGGGGAAGACCGTGGATCTCCTGCTGGCTGGTAGTTTCTCTAGGCTTTGGTGTCCTGGCGATGATGGTGAGGCGGGTGCAGCATCGTCGCAGAGGAATAAGTCCCTCCGTCCTCGTTCCCGTCGCGGTAGCGCTAACTCCGGCGCCTTCGTGAGGTGTGTGAGGGTTGGGTCCTCCAGATCTGGTTCTCTGGATCTATGGAGGATTTGTACAGGAGTCCGCGGTTGTCTGCTGCTTCTGCTGCCTGTGAAGGAGCTTGTGATGGCAGCGGCAACCTCTTGAGATCTCCAACCTCTTTTGTTGAAGGAGAAGGGATAGCTTCTGGTGTAGCGGTGGTGTGGCGAGTGGACCTGGGTCTCTTCTACGGCGCTCTCCGGCGCTCTCCGGCGACGTGCCATGGTCCTGGGCCAGGTGGGCGTGGAGTGTGTCCCCGGCCGATGGACGATAACTGGCGATTTTTTCCTCTTCTTGGCTGGCTCCTTTCAAAGCCAAGGCGAGATGGCGCTCTTCCTGGTCTATGTTTGGTGTCGCTCGTCACCTTGCTTCGTCGTCGGCTCCGGCGATGGTGCTCGGCGATGTGCGACGACTGCGGCAAGCACAACGACCTCCTTGGACTTTGTTGTCATTTTCTTTTTCTCTAGAGGCGTGTGTGCAGTTTGGCTGGGACAGCTGTCCCTTCTGTATCCTTCTAATACCTGCCTGTATTTGTATGTATGCGTTTGTACGTGTTCTCCGAAAGTCTTAATACAGGTATGTTTAATAAAAAAAAATCAGCACCGGTGCAGCACCTCTTCGACGCCGTTCATCGGTTCATGCTCAAGGTGGCACAGGTTATGAGAGAAAAGGACTAACACTGTTCATGTCAAACTCCTACATGTCACATCAGCGGAATGGACAAAGATAATAAGCCAGTTGATGCAATCAGCACATATATCAATCTAAAAAATAAGATGTGGCATACAAAGTCCACCCGCTCAACAAATACAGATACAAGCTAACTCTAGAGATATTGCCGTTATCATTTTTTTTAACCAAATTGCCGTTGGCATTTATACCCACGACAAACAACTGCCGGTGAACATGGAGATATCAGATATGTACATCGCTACTCTTAACTAAGAACTGAGGATTAATTAAAGTAAGAAAGGTCCACAGTCAGATTGACGAAGCAAGACCGGAACTGCCACCATCACATCCCAGCATTTGGATTGTTGCCAGCAAGGATGAGAGAGATCTCCAAACCTCTGCTGAACGCCTGGTTGAACAGAAGTCGCGTCTGGAAAGTGGATATGAATGGAAACCACGAGCAAATGGCTATGGGTATGAAAATGATCATCCCCGTGCCAGCATCATAGAGGCGAGCTAGGGCACGGACAGTTTTCCACAAACCCAATTTCTTCACGACAGGTTTCCATGCCATGGCAATCTGTGAAAAAAAAAGACGAATAGTAAAATTTCAGCCAACATTTACAATGTCAAGTACAAAAGAGAAATGAAAACGATGAGAATAATTAACTGGTCAAGAGGAAAGCTAATGCAGCGAACAGAAATATATACGAATGTAACTGTGAAGTGTTTGCAGAATGAACCAAAATAAAAGGCAAATCAACATATGGTCAAAAAAAGTTGGCATTAGAAGCTCACCGAAATGATTCCCCACCCAGTTGGCACAAATGCTAGAATGGAAGCAAAAACATCTCCGATACTGAGTTCCGTAAACAAAATTGCCAGGACCAGACCAGCCAAAACCATCAATAACGCTATACTTTTGACCAGACGCAGGAACAATTGGAAATGTACCATGGCCTTGGGGTTTAAACCAAAGACCTGCACAGTAATACAAATTAACATAATGAGTGCCCTGCTCAGCTGATGCCAAATGTAACAACAAAGAAATATATTACCAAGAGGAGGATGAAAAGGCCACCAAGCACAGCCCAAGAAATCCAATACACCTGCAGTGCCAAGGATTAATTTACGACTATCATTTTGACTATAGAGCACTACAAGCAAATGTGAACTGAAACACTAACATACCGATAAAGCTGTACTTTCTCTGCTGGCATTCATGTGGTAAACAACTCCGTATTGGAAGATGAAAAACCTCAGGCTTAGTATGGTTTCCAGTATCCTCCCTCGAATGCTGTAAATATGTTGCTGAAACGAAGTGTTCCAAAATGAGGAGTTATAGATCCCATGAACAAAAGTGGAAAAAATCCAACATTTTCCAATGGTAAATGTCAGAAGCTTCCAAGTATGCATGTGTCTTAATGATTTATTGTTCTTTATTCAGACATGTTATATCTGAAGAATAGATAAGCACCAAGAATAAGGATTACATCATTGTAGCAGATGTAGTTGACAATATAGCAAGCATCCAACTTTAAAGCTATGCAAGAGTTTTAAACATTATCTAAAAAAATGCAAGAGCTTCAAAACCATAAGAAACACGAGTAGGCTAATCAGGTGCAATAGTACTACGTCCAGTCAACAAACAATACAACACATTTTGGCTAAAGTGAATACAGGTCAAATTCAATTACCAGTTCTTCTTCCCACCAAGCTTCCCAGCTTTCTTCTCCTTTAACACCAATACCACCTCGATAAAACAGCCAATTTGTCCAGTCTGTGAAATCCTCGACGATCCTAAGAGGGTGAAGGGTTTGAAATATAATGTTCATAATGACAATTTGAACTTACAGTACATAGATACACAAAATGCTTAGTTGCTTACTTCTGCCATTCAAATCCAGATGGGTTAAATAAGTAGGGAGCAAAAAGCCAAGACAATGCCATAAACCAACTGCTTATAGAGAGTAAAATATAGCCAACTGCTCCACCATTGTTAAACCCATACGCTAGGAAGATAACCAACAAAAGTGCAACCTCCATCCTACAAAAACCAAGCACAATCAACACAAATGGTATTGTACTAGAAAAATTCCACAAGCAATTTTGAAAATAGCTTCACGTGATAACAAACCCTTTCACAAAATGGCTTCGAGCATAAATACGGTAGTTCTCAGCAAACTTGATATGTCGTACCACAAAACCTCTACCAGTTGCTCTATACTGGTAATTTAAAAAAAAAAGAATCAGATCAGTGTTCAGACATTTAGAAACTGATAAGCAACACTTAGTAACAAAAAGCCTACCTTTGCACCTCCATGTAATATTGCACGGCCAAAGTAGTGGGTCCTTGTTCCAAGTGAGAAAGTGAAAAATACAGAGCATAGTTGGAACTGCATTGTAATAAATTGAACAAAAGCCTGCATATACGCATTAACAAATAAGGACATTTGTTATCACTCTTGGGGAAATTTTAGAAATGGCGACTGTGATTTGTGAAACAAGCTGAAAATAGTGATAATGTTCCACATAGTAGTCAGGAAAAACAACTAATTTATGTAACCAATCATCACCGGTGATGGTACAACGATTGGGATTGTAAGAAATATAGTTCCTCAACTAAAAAAATACTTGATGCTTTTTACTTCTTCCAGTCTATCATTTACAACTTTGACCAGATAAGGCCTAAGCAAACATGATTTTCTGTTACACCATATTAAAAAATATAATAATTTTATGAAGTCAAGAAAGGACCTTTTAGGAAATATATATATACATGATTTTTATGTTTGTAAAATATTTTTTAGTAAGTTATTGAAAGTCAAGGTTTGAAAAGATTGGAAGACAGTAAAACATGTCAAGTCTTTTTTACTACAGGCAGTATCATACACAAAAGTAACCAACCATAAATACTTCTACAGAATTCACAGACTAAGCCAGAAGTCAGCAGGGAAAAGGGAATACCGTTAAGACACCTGATTCAAGGATGAAACCAAGAATCATGGGAACTGCAGTAAATGCACCAATCTGGAAAAGAAATTGAGTGTTCAGAGCAGCATCCAAGGCTGTGTTCTGCAGTATATCCGCTCTATTTTGAATTGATTCTCCAACACCAGATAAGGCCTAAGCAAACACACGGTAAAAAGAATGTCAGGACAACTATGGAAGAAACCAGATAATGTATGTAGAAAAGAACTGATAGAAACCAAGGCCAAAAAAATGCAAGAAACTTATGTCATGCCGTAACATGTGACTGCAGAAGCCTTTCATGCTAAGTCAATGCAAAACTATTGAGGAAGTACTCTTGCACCATAATATCTGGCCAAGTACTCTCTCCATTACAAATTGTAAGTCGTTATGGCTTTTCTAGATACATAGCTTTTGCTACACACCTAGATATACATACAAGAAAATTCCTTATTTGACAATAGAAAAACTTCTCCATCCCTATTTGACACCGAAACTTAAAATTTTCCCTATCTGTCACCTATTTCATCTTTTGTTCCCAATTTGACACTTCCATAACTTTTTGGCTGTAACGGCATTAACTCCAAAGCGAAAAGACCATATTGCCCCTCCTATGTGATTTTTAAGGCATGCTGTGTTCAGGCGTACTGAGAAAAAACATCTGCAAATAAATAAACGAGACTGTTGGAATATAAGTGAATTGCCCACCTCTCCCCATCAGTTTAAACTTTTGGGTTGAACTGTAGGTGTATGCAACTTAATATGGTATCAGAGCCAGAGGTCTCGAGTTCGAATCTTGGTTAGCGCAATTAAATAAAATAATTGCTGCTCGCTCCTATTCCACGTCTGAGGCCTGAGGGAGTCTCCACGTGAGGGGGAGTGTTGGAATATAAGTGAATTGCCCACCTCTCCCCATCAGTTTAAGCTTTTGGGTTGAACTGGTAAGTGTATGCAACTTAATAGAGACAAAAAAAAAATATGCAGCAACATGAACACAGCACGCATGAAAACACACAGGATGGGCAAGATGGTCTTTTCGCCTTGGCCTTAATGCTGTTACAGCAAAAAAGTGACACAAGTGTCAAATAGGAAACAAAAGATGAAATAGGTGACAGATAGGGAAGATTTTAAGTTTTGGTATCAAATAGGGAAGAAGTTTTTCTAGTGTAAAATAGGGATTTTCCTCCATACATTGTCTTGATGCATAGTAAAAACTATGTATCTAGAAAAACTAGAACGACGTACAATTTCAAACGGAGGGAGTACATCTCAAGTCATCCAAAAAAGGTGGAAAAAGATAAAATTAGAAAAATCGATGGATTACCATCTTACCAGATACGTTTTCCCATAGAGAAATATGTACACCGTCAGCACAGTTAGCTGCAAAAGAACAATGAGATTAATACTAGAAGCATAATAGTAATAGCAATTTTTGTATATTTAATTTTATCCATGTGCCTTCAAATAATATTAACATGAATCACTACAAATGGAAATAGTTTCAACTGGACAAATCTTAACAGGCAAGGAAAATTAAATTACCATAGTACAGAAGTAGAATCCAACAGTTGTCACGTAGAAGGATAACATCCTGAAAAAGTCAAAAAATTGTCCGAGTCTATATATGTCTCGGCTAAGAACTTGTTCACCATTTCCACCAGCAACTTTTCCTTCAAATAGTGCAATCTGATTAAGTCCAACATCCCTACCTTTGCCAACCTACAGGATAACATTTAATATCAACACAATGTTCACAAGACAGCAGCACAACCACTGTTGAGTTAGTACAGTGGAAAGTAATGGAGATCCGAAGGTGGTAAAAGTAGCAAACATATCTGTCATCAGTAAGTTTGTTTAACCACTTGATTCACTCAATGAACAACTCCAGGTTAATATAAGTTCAGTGAGAGCATGAGTGTCATATGCACTGCACGTGCACAAGTAGAATCAACAGTGCACGTAAGACCAGTTGGATAAGATTTTCAGACAAGTGCTATCCCTCTTGACTGGCAGCATTGACTAGCATAGTGATATCATTCAATGAGACACCACAATAACTGAGAAGTATAAAAAAAATATTATGAATGATTTAGGCCATGCTTAAGTTTTTCACCAGGTCAAATGAATGATTTAGGCCGACATACAAATATTATGAGCCATTTAATTTCTGTCATAGGGTTCAAGCCGTCTGTCAAGAATGCATTCCGCGTAGTGCTTCAATAAGCCAATAACAGGGGCATATCTCTAGGATGCACTCGCTCCTGAAAAAACGCGACTTCCTCAAACTAAATGTGCTCATAATGCATGGGCATGCAATTATATGATTAATGAGAATATTAACTAATAACACTAAGTCCCTAAATGCATGGGCATTTGTCCTTAGGATCTAAAAACAAACTATTTAAGATGAAACCTTAGTTAACCTATGCTGCATGGATACATGGGGTGGGCAGCATATCCTGTATTGGATACATATCCGCTACATATACACACAGGTAACGGCTTCGATACGTATCCTATCAGAATAAAAAAAAAAGATAAATCACGACACGGTGGGTGAGGGGTGACACATATCAGGGCGGACAGCTGATACAGCCCAGCCCAATTAAACCCCGATGCCCCTTCTCTATCCAATCACGCTCTCCCCACCTCTGCTCATCTGCTAAATTTATACCAGGCACATCGCGCCACCACCCGCCAGCACATGCATCGATGCAGCATGGCCAAGCACCCCCGCCCGCGCCCGTGAAGAAGCTCCGCCATGTCCGCACCCAAGCACACACAAGTGCAACACAGATGAGTGCCCCAGCTCGCCGAGCGATCCACCTTCACCATGCATGTGTCACAGTATGCACAGGTGCTGGCGGCAATTCAGTAGTGAATCAACGACTTCCAGTGACATTCCCTTTCTGAATCTCGATAGTCTTTTTTTTCTCGAACACGCAGGAGAGCTGCGTATTGTATTGATAGACAAAGAATGAGTCATACAGACCCCCCCTAGAAGCTTTTGATCCTAATCACCTATTACATAAAGGCAAGACCCGACCAAAATGGGGAGAGCACAATCTCGATATAGTCTTGATCTTCAGTTCTTGAGCTCTTGTTGGTTGATTTTCCTTGTTCCCCTTCCTGTCTAGTGTTATCTGTTGTGCGTTGCCCATGATTTTTCCCAGCCGCAAGTAGATGGCATGACCAACAAATTCTAGTACTAGTGCTACTATGCTAGTACTTCATTTACACTATGGCTCCTACATTAGTTGATTACTTCTAGGTTCTCACCTTTCTTTTCGCTAATTAGAAATTTGGAAAAGAGCAAAACACCAATATTGCAGGCAATTTCAATGTTCCTTTTGGCTGCTATGGTTTTTAGAATTCTAATATGTCTTACTATTTATATTAAAAAAATCTAAAATGTATCCGTGTATTAGGTTTTCTGGAAAAATACAGCATCCGCTCGATACCGATAAGTGTATCCATATGCGTGCTGCATAGTAGTTAACTTCCTCATGCGACTTGTATTGCCTACCAAGGGTACACGAGAAATGACAATGATGCATCCCATGCTCTAAACATATGTATATGAAAGAATGTGGGTTCAATATTTTGTATTTAACCAATTCTCGATGTAGAGCACGATTCTATTAATGCACAGCAGCAAAAACTAGGCTTGAGGCTTTCTTTGAAAAGTTTAAATGAGTTATGTGGATGATGAAAATTCAAAAAGCAAGGATAAGAGAATTAAAACCTGAATATACTCATGATGAGTTATGCATCCTTGACGCAGCGTTGAGTTGAATCCTGCAGTTCATAGATGAATCAGTAAGATCCACACCATAATCTTAAAGACAAGCCAAAATAATTTGAAGTTTTTCATAGGGAAAATTCTAAGAAACATGCCAATACTAGTACGTATGAATACTGAATAAGACTAAAAATAACTCTCAGAATGAGGAAAAGCAGAAAAAGATTACAAGTTTAACCTGCATATATATCCTCACTGATATTGATGCTGCGGGAGGCCTTACTAATTCCACCCCTTGTTATATGAAAAATTCTATCAAAAACATCTGGATGACCATAGTGCATTCTCACTCTACAAAAAGGAAAGGTTTCATGTATTAACTACACACAATTTTAGCTGTGATCCTCATGTGAAACAGAAAACATACTATGTAAAAGCACTTACTTCAGTGGGTTAGCCAGAACACGTTGTCCTAATGTCACAAAACTTGTCTCTTGGTTAGACATAAATGAGGCCAGGGAGGAAACACTATAGAAGCATGATGTTAGAACTGAGTTTTACTCTAGAAACATCTGCATAACTTCTCCACTGAAAATGGAATGAATAATACCTTCCCGTGAAGACATGCTCTCTAACACCAAGAATTGAAGGGTAATGCTTGCCACGCTTCAGAGAGAACTCCTCAAGTAGGTTTCTCATTTTAAGTGCCTCCTCGAAGTAGTTATCCTAAAAAAACAGCTAAGCACTGGTGAAACAAATACATGATTCCAACTGAACCGTTAGTCAAATTGTCAAACAGTGACAGTATCAATAATGGAATGATCTATTCGTCTTCATTTCATCCTTTTTTCATTGTTGCACTGAAAAAGGTTGGCCTCAGTAGAGCTGTAGTGCACTCCACAAAATACAAATTATAGAAGTAATACTGATCCTGACTTTGATTTGATCCAATATTCGGAGGGTGCAATTTCAAAAAGTCCAAATTACACCCTCCAAGTTTGGCCTATGTCCAGATAACCCCCTAAACTAACATTTGGTTCAATTTGCTCCCTCTTAACTATTTCAGTTGGCCCAGTTTACACCTTAAAGAGATTTTTCTTTTTTATTTCTGCGTACAAATTGTGTTAAGTTTCCAATTTTGTGAGGTGAAAGAGGATATAATATCCTGTGTTAGAACAATAAATTATGAAATTTTCATCATTATGTTTTGCACGATATTATATCTCTAGTGGCGAAAAATTAAGGTATATTTTCTAACATACCTTATGAAGTCCTCTATCATCTCACAAAATTAAGGTAAAATTCAACTTATAAGTGGAGAAACAAAAATAACAAATCCTGTTAAGGGGTAAACTAGACCAACTAAAATAGTTGGAGCGAGTAAATTGAATCAAATGTTAGTTTGGGGGTTATTTGGACATAGGCCAAACTGGGGGGGGGGGGGGGCTGAGAGTAATTTGCACTTTTTCCAAATGAAAAATGGCAGTCAATACATCACATAACTCAAATAGTTGGAGCGAGTAAATTGAATCAAATGTTAGTTTGGGGGGTTATTTGGACATAACTCAAATGAGATTGGTGACAGGTTACCTGACAACTAAATATCATTAAGGGCTCGTTCGGTTTGGGCAAAATGACACCAGGAATCATTCTGGCTAATGAAAACTTATATAAATTGACTAACGATTCCAGCCGGGAATTCTTCCTGGGAGTGCTTCCCGGGGAAACGAACGGGGCCTAAGTGAACATTCTAAAGTATTTAATGTAAAAAAAGATGTAGTAATTAACTAAATAATAGAAAAATGGGGAAAAAAGAGTACATCTGTATACCTGATTCATATCAATAGTTTGCACTGCATTTCCACGAGTGAATATTATGGCATGATTTTGATTTTCGGGTTTTCCCTCTCCAAGCTTTGGATTGCCAGGCAATTTAATCGAATAAATTTCCTGTAAGACAAAGTTCAACCGGGTGATTATGAGAATGAATGCGCTATTTCAGATAATTTGCTGGGACCAGTTTGTAGCTGCCATGCTGCACAGCAAAATCTAGTCCACTACAAAAATGTTTATTATTTCCATTAAGAATTTGCTGCTATGGATCCTAGCCAAAAGACCCTAAAACTAGCTATGCCATCCAGATGTAGAAAATAATAATATGTACTTTTGAAAAGCCACCACATTGGCATAGGGGGCTTATGGGCATGCTCACTATGGAACTAGAACAGACAACCAATGCCCCCTTAGTATCAAAACCATGATACAAAGTTACGAACAAGGATATAAAGTTCAAATACTCAAGAATAGAGACATGCAACAGAAAAAGAAAAACAACAGCCAAGAATATTGCAATTGACGATGGCTCTTGCAAGCTACAGTATAATGATGATAAACCCTAGAGAAAGGAAAGACAAGTAGCTCTATACAAAAAGAGAAAAGAGGTATCAAAGAACCTAATTCCTCTGATCAGAAATGTAAGTCCATCTAGGTCTGTACTAAGTCAAACATTTTTCTACCTTTGACTATCAATATCTAAAATTAAAATCACATATAGAATGTTGACACAAGATTGGCATTACTGGACTCGTTATAAGAACAACAACAACAACAACATAGCCTTTCAGTCCCAAGCAAGTTGGGGTAGGCTAGAGTTGAAACCCACCAAGAGCCCTAAGTCACGGTTCAGGCACTTCAATAGCTGCTTTCCAAGTACTCCTATTCAAATTCGTTATAAGAAATACTTTCAAAAAATAGTTACTGTTACAGATATATATTTGATCAAAGTGTCATATTGGAGACTACGCTGATGTCTCAAGGGGCTTATATTTGTGGTACTAATGACTGACCTTGTCCTTTCCATGAATATCAGCTTTCACAAGCTTTGAGTAATACTCGGTGATGGGTTTTCCGTTCTTAGCATTCTCGACTTCGTCAATGTAAGCAACTCTAAAAGCTTCATTCCTACAAAAGATAGTACAAAATGTAATAGGTGGTGTACACAACAAATAACAAAGCAAAATAGGCCTCGGAGTGTAATAGTTTATGTGCATGTGCTCAAGTGCTTATCTGTGAGAGACGGAGAACTAACCAGGCCCCTTAAGTCCTTTACAAAAGAGAGCTAACAAGCAAAGATATTTCTAGCATATTAAATTAAATGTACCTTTGCATTAGTAAGGCTATGTCTGCAGCTTCGGGTTTCCCTTCCCCCTTCTGTTTTCCATAAATTTGGCAGGTAACCACATATGTAAACTTCAAATCAGCCTGTGCACGCGCCTCAGGTGACAACTCAAAATGTGTATCAACTGAACTAGTCAACCCTAATGTAGATTCCAAATCTAGTAAAGGAAAACAACGGAAAAGGGGATATCCATTCAGATAAAAATAGTATATATGCATCTCACATGCTAAGCAGTGCAGATACCTTCAGATTGTATCCTCTCCAAATAACTCTGCAGCATAAGGGCTTTCCTATAGTACATCATGCCACGGACTGCAGAGTAAAACAAAAAAAAAAAAGTTGATGTGAACTGATTATATTCAAAGATACTGAGGGAATGAGTTCCACTTAGAAATTCTTGTAGGCCAAACAGATTAATCTTTTGTGATGTCATCAGACAAGCACACATGACTTGACACACTAGAGTGAAAGATTATAAATACAAAAGTATAGGTAATACCATTGTGTTCTAAATAGGAATAGTACCACATTGTCTACCCACAGAGTCCTATGTACCCTATATAATCAGCCCATGATGCCCAATGCAATACATCCAATTATCCCACCAATTCTATTCTCCTTCACATTGGACATTCACAGATTAATCACAAATTTTGCTGTTGGTGCAAATTATTCCATACCCAAATAGGAAACGGAGTGTGGTTTGAGTCAACAATGAAATAAAAATTTGCCAAAAGCCCAAAATACAAGTGTTCACTATTTGAAACAAAAAAAAAGGTCTACGAATTGAAAAACAGGATTTAGTAAAAGCAAATGTGAGCCTATCGACAAATATACCATATATGTATAGGTTTATACAGAGGATAACAATCCAAATATACCATATATGTATAGGTTTATACAGAGGATAACAAACCAGTTCGAGCTAAGGTCTGCCCACGATAAGAAGCCCATAGACGTAGTTCAAGTATGTCATTTGGGTTGCCAAAAAGCTCAGAGTCTGCTGCATTTTCATCCCTGTTGATACGAGTAAGGAAGTTCTTCCATTCATCTGTTTACAGAAAGTCGACCTTTTATTAGAAATGTCAAACGACAATTTGGGGGAGACATAATTTCATACAAAAGAAAGCTACTATGCTAGCTTAAAAGGAGCAGGAGATAGAAGTCTAAAATCACGTCATTTAAATTAAAGAAGGAAGTGCAACTATGTTGAAAACTTCAAATATACGGGTTTTTGTTGAGTACTCCTAGACAATAGATCCCAAAATTACAGATGAAATCCTAATATAGAATGGGTTCAAAAGCCTTAAGAGTGCATTGATAGCATGGCATAACATGATAATTAAAGATCGTGTGGACAGGTCCGTTCTTATGTCTTGAGCATGGCCTACATTTCGGACAGGGTTATATCTGTCTTAAGCCATAGAAAGCCAGGCAGTTCTTCTAAAAAAAAAAAAAAAAAAAAAAAAAAAAAAAAAGAGCCAGGCATTTGTGAGACTTGTATTCATCTCACATAGTTCCTGAGCAGATGGATCACAAGAGAAAGGGGTTTTACATAAGTCGGTTGGGAGCCCCCTAAGATGTTCCCGCATAATTTACTTGATCATTTCAACTTCTTACAGCTGCATGAGAGTTGAGGAAAAGGGTTCCAGGTTTGTCACTAATAGCTGCCACTGCATAGTCAGTTTGAGTAGTGTCAGTGTTCCTTGGAAAGACCCTACGTGTTGCCACTGCATAGGTAGTTTGAGTAGTGACAGTTAAAAGGAGCAACCAGTAGTGTAACTGAAACAAGGCTCTTACAAGGATGCTCCAATCAGGGGTGAGCGGCAACTTTCCAAGACCTAACGTCATCCCTCAAAATTCGGACTACATCTCGTCCTTAAGCTTGTACCACTTTCAGTTCCAGACAGAAAGAACCCAAACAAACTGTTAGTGTTTTGTCGTTGTAGCACTGTAGAATAACCATTTAGCAATTGCAATGCCCTAGGTTTATGGAACTTGCTTGATGGAGACATGCACAAGTAATTGGGGGAGAAACACTTAACCATTTTCAAAGAAATTTCAACTTCCAAGTTTGTTAGAAATACATATCACAACAGGATAAATATATAACCAAAGGATCACAAGAAAAGGTTACACTATAGAGAATCCAGGTATTCCTTTCAGCGCTCATGGAAATGGGAAAGAAGTAAAGACCAGACCTGGGTAAATCTTCTGGAGATAAAACAGTGTAGTTATACCATCTTCGTTTTTCTTCTGCAGTTCAGCCATGCTGTAGAGAACAATCTCAGAGTAATATGGAGTAAACACGCTGCATAACAAAAAATGAAAACACAGAATGTAAGAAAATAGTATAACTGAACATCAGAACCAGGAAAAATTGCATAAAACAAATAATCAAATTTCAACCAAAACAGAAGTGACAAGTCTACAACTAAATGAACAAGTAAAAGGACTAAAGGAGCCCCACCTAAAGCAGACCATTTCTGAAACAGGCCGTGCAAGAGGCATTTCCATGAACAGAGAGTTTGTAAAGAACTGAAGTCTCCGCCTGGCTTCTAAATTTTTAGGGACAGTTGCTGCTGATTCTTTAATTGTCAGAAGCGAATACAATCGCTTGATCAAGTCCTTCTGGATAGATTACCAAAGCATAGATCAGACTGATGACTAAAGAAAAATGCAGACTACCAAGAAAATAAACACAACAACAAAATGTGCATCCAATAGTTAGAAAATACCAATTTGGGATCATTTGGCCACTTGAGTTTATTGAAGAGGCGACCTTCAGCCCTTGCTAAATTAATTTGTTCCCAGTCTTCAATGTGGCCACTAACATTTATAAACAAAGGGCTTTAGCAAAGCGAATTTATAAGCGCACAAAATCTGAGAATAAGGTTGAAAAACTACAGACAAACGGCAGACCTCATATTAACAGAAAACGCTTCATGATGAACATCATCATATAGGTCTTGAATAGCATTAACCAAACCTTTTTTCAGATCACTGGACTCTGTCGTACCTCGCTACAAAACAGTGTTTTCACAGTTAATATACACACATATACACACTTGAACCATCCAAAATAAAATGTTCAATTAGTGAAAACGCAAGTGACATCTGACATACACAGCATACTTTACATCAGAAGGAAAATTTTGCCACTAACAGACTGCTAGGGCAAGGTCAAAACGGCTGTGGTTAGGGTCTAGGAGGTTTTGGCATAAATTTGATGGTATCATGGATCACCATTTTACTCTAGTATATTCTAGTGAAAAGGTAGAAAGCAATATAGTTTCTAAAGAGAATTTAACATCGTAAAGGGAAGCCAAATTTGAGATTTGACTCATGAATACAGTGATCCTGTAGCTAAGTTTGAGAATTGGCTCACCAATAAGGTGGTCGCATAGTAAATAAGCCAAGGAAATACAAGTTAACCACCCTAAAAATAAATACCAAAACATCATACATACCAGTATTCCCAATACAGCAACAAGCTTGGCAATAACATTAGGCAACTTTTTGAAATGAAGATCACTTTGGATGGTCCTGTTTGAAATGCTGTCTCGGATACCACCATAAATCCTTTCCACCCTAAATTTTCCAAATAACAAAGCAACATAAAAAAATCTGTCAAATTTATGAGGTGAAATGAAACAACAGCAATAAAAACAAAGCCTTTCAGTCCCAAGCAAGTTGGAGCAGGCTAGAGATAAACCTAACAAGGTCCACCAACCAATATGATGTAGAAGAATAAAAAAATAGCATTAATAAGTACAATAGTAACACTAATTACCAGAGGCGTCCTTCTTTCTCTAGTATAGACGTCAGAATATGATAAATGCTATGGAAGCACTCTACAACAGCATATTGCATGTATTCATCCTTCGATATCCTTAGCCAAAGTTCTTCTTGTGAGTCTTTGCAGTCCTCTGCAATCTCTTTGGCCAAGAAAACCTACAAATTGGAAAGGGGAGGTGCTGATTGAAGAAACAGAATGGAAACAAAACTTGTGAATCAAGCAAGGGAAAACTTTTAAAACAGTTAAAGTTGTTTTCGATTTTTGACCTTGCTAGCAAGCAAGAAAAGTGGCCACTGCACAATCGGAAGCACTCCAACGTCATTTTTGGGCATCAAAAGCAATTCTAATTCACTGCAAATAGGATAACAGTCAAACTATATCGACATATGGCAGTCAAGAAAACTGTATCATAGTAGCATAGGAAGAAATACTTACAAATTGTTAATATAATCCTCTTCCCGTAAATTCCTCACGATTCTCATTCCAGAAGGGGGAGAATCTAGATGCATCAAACTTGTTTAATTCTGTTTCCTGGAAAATTTGATGCCTCCAGTGTCAACTCTTTGTAAATAACAATAAAGAATGGCATACATTATTTATACATACAAACAAATAATTCAAACAAGTATTGTGCTATATCCCAGATCCCCAAAAAGATTGAAAAAATTGGATCAAAATGTACAGCTACTCAGAGGTCAAAATCAACATACAAAGAAGTTCCATAACAATGACGACTCATACCTGACCAGAAGATAGCAGTTGCTTCCTGTATAAAGGATTAAAACCAGCTTTAGATTATGAAAACAAAGAAGATAAACAAGAAACTAGGAGGACATCACAAACCTTTTTGGAACAGCAACATGAAGTCTATGCATGAATTCTCTAGGAAACTTCTCAAAGAATCTATGTACTGCCTCGACATTACTAATCTGTAAACACAAATAAAAATACCAGACAGCATAGATTAACAAACAAACAAATACATGTTCTTTTATATTTCCATTCCACGGTACTTTTTTCCCAAAGAACCCCAGCCAAAGGCAAATAGGAACTGGTACTTGGACTTGAATGGGTATGGTATGGTGGAGTGGACTGTGTGCCATTAACTGGAGGTGGAAACAGCGACGAGAGGTAAATCGTCAGTACAAAGAGAAGTGAATCGCCACGTTGACAAAGAGCTTGAAGCTTATTGATTTTTTCTGCCGAACGTATTTTTCTCTCACAACAATTCAAGTGTGCTTGAGATTCAAAGTTAGAAACAACAATTCCTCCTCCCAAAATAAATGCGCTTCTAGGATTTGTTACTGAAATCAATGTTACTCAGAAATTACATATATACCCCTCACATAAGTTATGCAAGCATGTAATAATTGCATTCAGGGAATAGAGAAAGTAGTAAAGCCTACTAGAGCTAGGTGATCCCATATCTAGAAGTGCACTAATCATGGAACAACTTTTGAATGCTAAAAGTGCACTTATTATGGGACGGAGGGAGTAGAGAATAATAAAGATGGAGGAATACCCAAGAATAAAAAAGTACAAAGTGCAGGATCCCCGTGACTGGAGGAATACCCAACAAAATCATGGAGAGATCTGCTTGAACACAGATCCAATAAATGTTTTGCCCTTCAATTAACACGGATTAAATGTTTTGCAATTCGGTTTAGTGTTTTGATGTTATCAAAACTAAAAAAAACTGTATTCCCGTAATCAAATGCACTTAGCCGTTGTCTTACATCTTGCTGGCATAGCGTGCATTGTGCAAGCATCGAAGCATTAAAAATCTATATTTGAGAAGTATGATAAACGGCTAAACAAGAAATGAGATTGCATAATATTAACAATCTAAAGTGATAAGGTTGATAGATCAGCCAGAAGCAACTTCATGGATAGTCTGACAGTAGTTCAAGGCCAAAGTTTATGGAGCTAACCTCTCCCAAGCGATCGCGTGCACCAAGGAGAAATCCATAAATAGCAGACAATACAGTGTAGAATACATGAATGTCCAAAAGGTAAATCTGCATAAACGAATGCTTAATATAAGAAATATAATTTTCAAAAGTGATCAAGAGAAACTAGACAGAAGTCAACTCATTATTTTATAATGAGCTTACGACAATTTCGTCTAGAGATATCTAATGTTAATTTTTCAACAGTCATAATTTGTTTGCATATTGTGCCTGTGATTCTGACACATAAAAGGAGTTAAGAGAGCTAGAACTAGAAGCAACCAAAGGTTACTTACTGACAGCACTGGAGCCCATAAAGAAACGATTGTAAGAGCATTATGATTATCTGCAAGCATTGTAAGAACAATTCGATTACACACGTTTAATCATAAATATTTAGAAACAGATGGACACTTCTCAAAGTTCTGAAAGGAACAATTTCCAAATACACAATAATGAAATTTTATAGGATCAGAGGGTGTGGACAGGAAAAAAATATATCATGGTAACATTTGTGGAAAAAAGTAATGTATCCATACTCTTTGAGACAAAGTCATGCCAAGCATACTGCAGGCCTCTGAAATTGATTATAGTTCTTGTTGGTTTTACAAGAGGTTTTATCTGCATAATAAAGGCCAATGTTTTAGGTCCAAAGGTCAATAACTATGAATTGTTAAAAATGAAAAACTAAGCTTTCCTGGAGAAAATAGGTGAATGAAAACTTTGCACCAAGAATTGCAATCCAGAAAGTGGCGTATCTGCACAGTAAATATAGTAAATAATTAAGAAATTCCAGTTTGTGAGCTGGATGACAGAATTATGTTTCAAAGTTCTACAGTTACTTGATATAGTCAAGGACACTCTCATGCATGCCTCTTCCAACATAATTATTCTCCTTCAACAAAAATAAAATGTCAGATATTCTCAGCAGAAGACATCGCATAAAAAGATTTCAAAAGATAAGAAGTCAGAATATGCTAAAGAAGGACAAGACCTGATGCATCCACTTAACAAGGCGTACAGCAGACCAGTGATAGCAAGCCTCAGCCAAACCATGGCAACAAGGGACACTCGTAAGTAGGCTGATAATTATCTTAGCGCCCACATATGCACCGATTACAAAAACATATATCTTGAATGTTGCTGACTTTGTGCCATCTTGAAGTGCCTTGCTAGAAAATGATCAGACTATTAGAATTTCATCTAGTAATTCTCCAGGACAAAAGGTTCACTTAAATATCAAGTGCTGATTTGGAGTTGGGACCAGATAATCTCACTTCATGATTAAGTTGAGCGGCCAACTAGAACTATTCTACAGTTGACCACAGGTAAATTTAAACTCATCAGTTCTACAGCTTTTGAAAAATCAAATTCATCGTCAAATTTTTACCACTTAGCACTTCGACTTTATTGTATTACTAGTGAATCTTTGGCAATATGACTGAAAACTGTAAATAGCACATAGCATGTGCCAAGTATCAGAATTGACCATATTTCAACCAAGCCAGTAAAAAATCATATTGGATAAGACAGACGACTTCAGAATTCTTAACTTTTGAATGACATTACAAAGTGTTACCCGCCGAATATCAGGATTGAAATATTTTATGGTTTCCAAAATTCATCCCGAACCATGTAAAAAAGGCAAATGTGGTATTTGTTGCCCCTACGTGTTTCAAGGCCTCAACATGTGTCATTACCATATGATAAATGACCTTCAAGACAGTCTTTCATTTAAGTGAACTCTTTTTAATTTATAGGGTAAGAAAGAAATTTTCAGATATCACAAATGGATTTAAAAACATACATATATAGGTAGCAAATCGCAACTGAAGCTACAGTAAACCAGCAGAATCGCCACGCCACTCTGGTGATTGCAGATCGACGAGACGTTGAATAGGCACCATACATCATTAGAATATCCAATAGACCTTCACAGTAACAAAAGGTAACAAAAGAAATTAGCCATCAGGACAATTTACACAAATCATCATATTACAGTAGGGAAAAGATCTGTGCTCACTCTCAATAAATTTCATTACAACATAAGTAGGACCCAGACTAAGAAGTTGCAATATGGTCTTCCTGTCAAAACTACCATCATTGAAAGCAATGATAGTTAGTCCCTGCATCAACACAAATAGAACCACACATAGGTTACACCAAACCAAATGTATAAAAACATTAAAGAAGGCAATATAAAGCACCTAATGATACATCATACGCAAATTAAAAGACAGAATTCATTCTCATGGCCATATAAGGACAAAAGAAGTCAACACATCTACAGGTAAACATCAATTTCAAGATGTTTATGGTAAATTTTCACTACGGGTTGTAACATACAAAGTCAAACCTATACATAGATGGAAACATGCTCGCTCATAGCGAAGCAATATACAATCATGGAACAGAAATAAATCATTGATAAATACTTTTGTGCCAAGAAACAAAACAACAACAATGTCCAGCTAAATTCTCTCTTTCTCGTGCAAAAAGGTCCCAAAATACAAGCCATTATTTGCTTTAAGTAATAAAACCACCGACAAGTTAAGGTCTTTTTTAATAAACTCCATACAAGAAAGTATGCATCGGTGATCGGTCTAACACCAATTTGTTTTGGTGCAAGTGGTAGAGTCTTACTGCCTGTGACCGGAAGGTCCCAGGTTCGAATCGTGGTCTCCTCGCATTGCACAGGCGAGGGTAAGGCTTGCCACTGACACCTTCCCAAGACCCCGCACAGAGCGGGAGCTCTCTGCACTGAGTACGCCCTTTATTGGAAAAGCCACCCAGGACCAGTCTATTATTGAATACCCAGTGTAGCGGTGATGCAAGAATCTGATGGAAGACATTATAGTGTGCCACGCACAAGGGAATTAAAGGGGTGCATTGCTACTAACTTCATAGAGTGCCACGTCCAAGGGAGGTAAAAACAGTTATCATGCGAGAACATGTATTTGGAGAAAACTTGTGTTTCTAGAGAAGGGGGTGGCCAAAAAACTTAATTGTGTCATTGTTCATCTAGCAAGTCAACACATGGAATAAAACCAAACTAAGAATTCCTTAAACCAGTGGGTACTCAATCCCAAACAAAATAAGGAATAATGGTAGCATGACTAGAGTTTGCATTCACCTGAAACATCATAATAAGGAACATCCAAAGGCGATGAAAGCTGTGGTAAAGATGAAGAAAAGTCCTATGTTCCACAAAAGATGTCTTTCCGTAGTGATGATTCCTACCTAGCAAGCCCTGGAAAACCAAATGCGCATCTTGTAAGCAAAACAGACAAACAATTCGCAAGAAATAGAAGCAGTTTTGTAAGCCTATACTGAAGCTTGGTTAAAGTGAAAATGGGCCTTATCTCATTGTTGGCAACATGGTATGATGGTCAAGAAGCACAAAACGTATTACTTACAAATATACAAATACTGATTTGGTGACAGATACTGAAAGATCAAAATAATTGTGATTATGATTAATATAAAAAAACCAACCTTATCCTTCCTACTGGGCTTCGAGAAAAATGGGTCGCTCAGCTTCCAAGGCCATCCTAGGTTAAAGCACTTATGAGACCTAGAAGAAACCGTCAAAAGATTATGAGAAATATAAACAAATCGAGAAACAAAAGTAACCTGATTGATTTGCTTATACCAGAAAAACTCATTGAAATCATCATAATTTCTCCATTCAGAATGTGGTGCACGCCCATTTTTATTATTGGCTGCTTCCTGCAGCAGAATCAACACATTCAACATTAAGAAAACCATATAGGACCAAAAATAACGAGTGATATTAGCTCACCAGCAGGCACACTTACCGCTGCAATGATTTCATACAAAGGATAAATGACTTTGTCAAGAAACGACACAACACCACCAGAACTACAGCTTTCAGCTGGCTCTGCAATTTGTTTTCGCAGAATCTCCCCTAATTCTCTTGCTAGCTGCAAAATTGAAACAGAAAACAAATGTTAACAATATGAGTAGCAGCCAACACATGTTGAAATCCAACCCAGACATTGGTATCCGACAAGGCAAACTTCAATAACTGGGATTTGGGTTCATCATTTTGATTGCATACTGTGAACATGGAGTAACCATGATGGAATAGCTCTTTATCATATTTTATTTGGGTCTGAAGCATAGCACCCTCTAACTAGTTCCTCCCTCTCACATAGAACATCTCTACAATCCTCACATATCATTATTTTAAGAAGAGAAGGGGTAAGGACCCTGCAAAAGCACACACACCCACAGCAAAAATAGTTTCAAACTTATGTGTCCGTTACACTGAGGCATGAGCATAACTCTAGCCACAGCGACATGAGAAAGGGACATATGCCATACTGGTGTGTGTCACTGAAAAAAAAAACAGCTCATGGAGTAACATTTTCACACAAAAACAGAAGAATAAAGGAAAATCATGCAGCATGAAAGAACATAATAGGTAACTTTATTAGAATCATACAGACTTACATGATGAAATATGTAGCATAAGCCCTCTGGAATAAATCGCACGTTGGCAGCTTCTCCCCACATCAAGTAGTACAAGCACACATATAGCAACTTCTTTTCCTTTGTCAATGAATCAGTGCTAAAAGAAAACCATGCAATATCTTAAAACCAAATGAGGTGTTGATACGGAGTTCAGTAGATAAGAGCAAAGTATATTAAAAAGTACATACTTATCCCAGACAGGACGAAGGGGCAGATAGTTGCACCATTTGATATAGTTATCAAGAGCTTTAGAAAACACAACATGCACGGCACCCTCATCAATTTTCTGTATAGAAACAAAAATACTGGTAAAGATACAGGTGTGAACAACTTCAAGCAATACAGAGATAAATATCTTGGGGCAGAACCTGGTAACTGATCACATTAAACTGTTGCCAAAGCAGTGTATTTTCTAAAAAGGACAAAGGTAACAAAAAAGGGCAGACCCAGTGCCGGAGGCTCCCACATGAGTGGGGTCTGGGGAAGGGAAAAACTGAGGTAAATCTCTGAATTTGAATGGTAGATACTTGTAGCAACATTGATGATCAGGCAAAAGAAATTAGTGGGTACTGAGTACTATGTTTTTTTAGAGTGAACTGAATACTATGTTGTAGCGGGCAAACACTTGACGATCACGTTATACTTTTTACTATGAGCATCCTTTCTATATCTAGAGGATCAGCAAATCTGATCATGGAACTTCAGTGTATCATTAATATTAAAACTCAAACAGCTGCAAATCACAATCAGCATAAGCCTGTAACAAATAAAACTTATTGCTTGGAAAGCACAACCAATAATAACTCAACCGTGCATATCAGGATATAAACATAGCTGCCTCTGTCATTACAGTTTAGAATGTCATTTTTAGAGTTCACATGATTAGCAAACTGAACAGAACTATCATTAGGGCTGAAAACAGTCAGTAACGATATCTTTTATACAGAAAACGATTCCTGGTCGGTCAGTAATGGTCGAGAACAGTCATAAACAATATCATGTTTATGGAAACGATTCCAAGTAAATGGGATCATCCATTTCTGTTTTCAGCCCTAACTATTTTTTTGAAGCCTCTCATCTGAGTACAGTTGTAGCATATGTTCATGCACGCATCCACGCGCACCACACTCACACCACACGTGCACGACTAGACCTACAACTACACACAGAATAGAAGATCGCGTCCTTCTAGAGATCACCGAAATCATCGTAGCTTCGTAGTCGACAGGAACATCGTAGTCCCTATTTGGGAGCGAATCCGGGTGAGAGACGCGAGTTCGATTCCAGGAACCGAACCCGCGCCGGCTGCGTGGCACTGCCGCCGCTAGCCACTCGAGCCTCCGCTCGGTCTGTTCAGTCCTAACTATCATCAATGCGTTCATCGCATAGGCTAATGGCCAGCATAGAAGTAGAAATTTAAATAGATAACAGATAAGCTTTTCAATTAAAAAAACTCAGAAAAGAGCCACTAACTGAACTTTTAGGCATATTACAAACGTAAAGAAAGGGACCATAACTCAAGAAAAAAGAATACCAGAAAAATGCTAAATTATTGCTAAGATGGCAAGATATTGTTGTTATTTAAAAAAAAAATAGCACTAATCATGTCCAAAATTATGATACGCAATAAAATAATGTCAAACAAACAAATACCGGTTCGTTCCCTGGTAGTTTTCCCACACGAGATTGTTCATTTGCCAATAGGTGAATGATATGCTCCCTTTGGTTTTTCACATTATCCTCCTGCAACAATGAAGAAGGGTTATAGCTTATTTCCACAAAGCCGACAAGGCTTCAAAATATTGCCAGATAAAGTAAGACAGCATAGCAAAGTTATAACTGCACAAGGATATATATTTACATAATTTGAAACAGAGCATGAATAATGATGTATGAGTGAATGCCATGTAATGGCATTGCTTTCCTACCATCTGACTCCATCCGTTGATCAATGACCAAAGATGCTCATATGAATGGGCTCAAATTCACAATAAATTACATGTCATCTAGAACAAAGGATTACCGTATTTACAGGATGGATTTCATTTTTCAACAAAATTCATGATGCATATAGAATTTCTATTCATATTATTTTACCACTATTAGGGCTCCTTCCTCTACTGTTCAACTTAATGAATCTGGATCGTTAGCATGTCTATGATCACCCAAAAGGACTCAGCTAGCTAACTGGCTGGTGCCTGCCTACAGTTAAAAGATCAACCATACATTAATTATACGATTAAAAGTTCAGAGACCATACTTCACATCGTTTTTTACACCTTTCTTTCATATAAACCTTAGAAGCAATGACAGATTATACAGTCAAGGTTAGGAAGCAAAATAGAGACAATAAGGAATTGGACAAGCTGCACTTTCTTAATATAGTTTGTATGTAGGCCGTGACCGATAATACCTGTTTTGCAATTTGCAACAAGACTTAAAAACGTAGTAGCAAATATGCAAATTTACTTATGAAGAAATCCGATCATATAATTGGCCATGAAGATCAGCAAATCTATTCAGACTTTTTATCACTTAGGTTGGCAACTAACATTTCTCATCTATTACCGTAGCAGTATTACAAAATGTGCATGTTCCACTGTAATACGATTACAGTAGTTATCAGCCTGGAACAAGCATATGAAGATTGATATGAAATATGCACCTCATAAACACTAACCTGAAAACCAAATACACATTGTAAAAGATCCAGGATATCCGAATTCCTAGCATTAGGGACTGAAAAGGTACCAGGAAGCCTGGGCAGATCCCTATGGTACTGCAGAGTTGATATTGCTGCCCTCACCTGAATTGAAACAATTCATATGTATATAACCACCTCCAGATCCAGCAAATTGGCAATAAAAAAATACCTTACTCTGAACTATTACCTCCGGAAAATTCACAATTGCATTAGTGGTAGAATTCAAGGAATCTAGAGGAATAATATTATATGGAACAACATCCTCCGTCCTTGCTGCGTCCTTTTGCATGACCTTTTTCATCTGACCAAAACAGAATAAATAAATAAATAAATTGATAACAAAAGGTGAGACCCCGTACTGGTCATGATTATATTAAAAGGGTTGAATTTGAAGGAACATAAGTTCATAACCAGAAGATATCAAACAGTCACTTAGATTTTGTACGCAACTTACTCAACGGTGTGATTTGTCACGAGAAGATCGTTGACATAACATTAAAAGATAGATAGTTAAAGAGCTTGCCAACAATCTACATCCTCTGCACTCAGCACACTATTCTAGAGAGGAAACGTAGCAGCAAGGTGAGAAATAAAATTGCAGTGCCATTCTCTACTTTTCAGCATCTCAAAGATACAAGTCCATATTATGATTCAGGCACATTAAGATTTAAGGTAGCTTCAACGACAATCTGCTATCGCTCTTTTAGATGCCAATCTAGATGCTTGACACTTGATACTTGACTCATAGCAAATCAAGTCTGGATGCATGCAAACCAAAATTATAATATGGTTTCTGTAAGGAGCATATCCTTAATACTTGTGTTTCAGGCACATATTTATACCTTAGATAAAACATTTAGATTGTCAAACCCATCATGATGTTATTTCTTTATGAAAGAGAGCTCAATGCATATGGAGGATCAGAACGTTAGGGCATGTGTTTGGTAAATTTCAGTGTAACCAGAACTCCAGAAGATCATCTTCTGAGCAAGTCTTTGGTGATATCTGCATACATACACATAGAAGCTCTTGACAGAATTCTTGGAGTTTTAGCAAAACTTGGAAGATTGGTATTGCCTTCTTGTGGCTAGTAGAGAAAACTATAGTAGACAGTGAGCGTATCAGATGCTACCAACCGCAGGTTACAGTGCTACGTGTTACCAATCATGGTAGCATCTAAACACGTGCATGAAAAAATATGATTAAAATATGAACAGACAGAGGATACAATCATCTTGCGCATACAAAATTTGAAACAGAACAAAAAAGAGAAATCAGCACATCAATAGTTGCAGGTTGCAGATCAGAAATGAACAATTGCACCCACAACTATCCATGTGCTGATTCTCTTTTTGACAAACTGCTCAACACAATATCTATAGATATGACCAAGAAGCTGTATTTTTTCCAATTTTCTGAAATCAAGTACAAACAACTAAATATCAAGGATAAGAATTCAAACCTCTTCAGATATCAAATTTTTTGCATCCTCCGGTGATATTTCCTTTGTCATATCCTCTATTACTGACCATAAGACCTTCAAAGTCGCAAGTACTTTTTTGCGCTTCCTGGTTTTCCGTTCCAGCCTGTTCAAAAAAAATGCAGACAGGGAACATCATCCAGTGACACAAATTTATTTATGTTACGCTTAACAACATGGCACAAAAGGTAATGAAGTACTAGGATTTTGTAAGTTTTTTACAGAAAGTAAATGCAGAGTGTGTCCATTAAACTGCAGAGAAAAACTTACTCTCCAAGGTTACCGCTGAACACAGCTGATTCCCTCAGCTTCATTTCATCTTCAATCAACTCATCCACTTTATGCTTTTCTCTATAAAGCTTGTAAAATTCTTGCAATTTAGCAATATCCTGACTTCGGTCAATAGCAACACCTTCCCTCTTCGCTAGTTTTTGCTAAATTCATAAACCAGCAAGTACTGTTAAAAAAATATACCTAAAGTTCCGAAGGTCTAATTTAGAATAATATGTCATCTATGGTGCAAATTGATATGGTGTGGTACTGTGGTGTGACTGGGATGTGGGATGACCCCCAAGGCATTATTATACGATACAGCATAAAGGGCTTCAAGGCTTAAACGAAATAGAAGCAATCACAATGGAATGTAGACAATCTACTACAAGGGCATATTATCAAATTGCTAAATACTCCCTATGTTGATAAGCATCTGTCATTTTAAATCATGCAGCAAAACATTCATCATTGTTACCAGTAACAGGTAAAAACATCTAGAATGGCCTTATAAAAATAATAGTAAAAGATTCACATACAAAAAAGGCATGGATTCATGGTGATAGATTTCTATGGTCTTTACCAACAAAATATGAAAATTGGAAGTTTTTTCTCCAATACTGTAGAAGTTCAAAAAGGACATCTTAAAGTATGAAATCACATAAGATGTGTAAGTGAAATGGACATACCCTGATCACTGACATTAAACCGGTTTTGAACTGCAATACTCCTCTCCCTTCGCTGTTGGGATCCAAACTCTGGGCTAGCGTGTAAGCATGCTCACAAACTGCACGAAGTACAAACATAAATGTTACCAGATCAAACCAAGTTGCACATTGCCTGTTTCAATTGTAAAATATTCCATTTTAAAACCGAACTGTATTTCAGTGTTAGCTTTTGTCATCAGTTCGTCACCATACATTGACATAACAAAGGACCCCACCAGCTAGTCGAAGAACAAAGTGGCAATCGGCAAACGATAGGAACCAGGCTAAGCGGCATAAAAGAACATTTTTCCTAATTTTATTAGACAGGTCGAAATAAAACAACAGAATTGGTGTAACGTGTAATATAACTTAGTTGCAGAAATCTGAACGAGTTTATTTAATCATTATCCTTTGATTTGGTGGAAGTTTGATTTTCTGTAGTGGAGTACCACAGTACTGTTCAACGGATGAACTAAGCAGAATATGGAAACTGGAATGATGTCCAAAAGTACAATCAATGATACAGGCATCTAAATTCAGAGAACTACTGATGCATTGAACTAAATTACCTGCTAGATACATAACGTAAGCAAGGTGCCAAGGTCCAACTAAGCTAAATGCATACAACTAAAAGTAGCCTAGCCATGATTCTAAAACAGTGGCAGCTAATTACAGAGAGAATATGCTAGCAGGCAACATGAGCAATGTAGGCAAACAAAAGCCCAGTGTCATCACAGGCACCCGATGCATGAATAAGCTGGAGGGGAAATTACTCTAGAAGAAGCAAACCACACACCATGCCAGACATTCATAGATTTATATGAAAAATCATAAAATTCTAGTCACTATTTCACTAATAGACAATGTTGGCTTAATCAAACTATCTGCCAACTTCAATAACGTGACACAAGTGACCAGGTTTGAAGTGAAGCATAATTGTCCAGAGTTATGCCAAAAACTAGAGAACCAGCATAACGAAGCAGTCTAACCGCTACTAGAACAAGGGAGGGACAGCTAGTCAGCAACAAGCATGAGCGATAACCAAAACCGTAGCCACGCAATTCGAAACCCAGACTCCAGAGCCACTGCTACGGGCAGTCGGGCACGCACTGCTCCCGAGCTCAGCGGGACAGAAATGGTAGCGAGACTTACGGATCCTGGCGACGGTGGGGTCTTCATCCTGGATCTCGTCGGCGGCGCGGAGCACCTCCTCGATGTGCACGTTGTTGCCGAGCGACGACGGCACGTTCCCGGCTATGCCGGTGACCGGCTGCCCGTAGGCACCGACGAGCCGCTCCCCGCGCAGCGCCGCGCGCACCAGCCGCTCCCAGTTGGCCTCCGCCCTCGCCATCGGCGGAAGCCCCTCGGATCTAGCTAGACGACACCCAGCAGTCCAGCCTCTTGCGCGCTCAGAGGCGGCTCGTCATGGGCCCCGAGCCCGTCCAAGCGTCTGCGATCGACTGGCGACGGGGATCGGCGCTAGGGTTTCGAACGCCGCGGGCGCGCGGAGGCGTGTGCAACGGAGGTGGTGGCGTTCGAGCAGTGGGCTAGTGGGGGGAGAAGGCAGCGGAAGCGGAAGGCCGGAGAGGACGCGAGGAAAATCTCAGAACTGGACTCGATGAGATCTAGGTGTGCGGCCGTGTCGTGCAAACTGCGCGTCGAAAGGCGCCACTTGCCGGAGAGCCGGACCAGGCCACACGAGCCCACCACTGCAAGAAGGGTTTAAGCGGGAAAGTTTCGTCAAAAACCGCACAAAATCACTCTATCTCCCGTTTTGGTTTTGGGAAGCTTAGGCGCGTGACGACGGGCTTAAGGAAACTAGTGTCTATATCTGAGATCTATCTCGAGATGTAGCTTGGCAATCTGTGGTTTCGTGAGTAGTCAGTAGTGTACCGAGCACGCAACGGCGATTGCCGACGGGACCCAAAAGAACGCGTTTTTTTTTCTTTCCTCTTGGTCTTGGAGGAGGGTAACGTGGTTTTTTTTTTTTTTGAGGGGGAGGGTAACGCGGTTTTGAGCGAGCAAACCCTGTGGAAACACTGACAAAAATAAACGACGGACGAGGGCATCGTTTAGATTGCAAGTTTTTTCACTCCCTCCATCAATCAAATTTTTGGACATATGTATGGAGTATTAAATGTAGATAAAAAAATAACTAATTACATAGTTTGATTGTAAATTACGAGACAAATCTTTTGAGCCTAGTTAGGGACCATAATTGAACAATAATTGTCAAATACAAACGAAAGTTCTACAATGCCAAATACTCATTCCTAACTTCAATCTAAACCAGAGAGAGGAGATGCGTCCAAGTAGGCCGGGAGCCCCCGCCAATCTTCGGGAATCGTGGAGTTGTCGTCGAGCGAGTATTTTGGGTCTATAATTCTGAAATGGGCAGATTCAGCCCGACAACATTCCTTTAGAGTAGCATATGAAGGTCGGGCCCCAGTTGGGTCGTTGCATGGTGCTACAGAGGGCTGCTAATATTTCAAACTCAAGGCCCAAGAACCAGTGGACCATAACTTGAGCCAAATTATACATGGACAGCCCCACACTGTTCCGCGATTTGCCTGTCATTAAACTTGGTCTAAGGACGACTACTTCGCCATCGATGAGCAGCAGACTAACACGGTTCACAGTGCATGAGCAATCTAATCCACCTCACCGAGCCATCAATGGTCGCTTTCAATTCATGCTGCAGCTCCAAGACGTCCAGTAGCGGAGAGACGACGCCGAAGACGGTGCTTTTGCATAGCCGGCTGCACACTGGTTTCCAAAACTTTGCGTTCGAACTGCAAATCAGACTATGTACTAATGATCCATCCACGGATCTGCAATAATGTTCTGAATCTCTGATGAGATGTGCAGATTTTAGGTCGCCATCGCCAAAGCAAAAAAAAATGTTTAGAATTTCAGAAACAACACAAACCAAGCAGAAGCAAAAACAATCGCACCCTAGCTCACCCGTGTTTGCCTGGCTAGTTGCCGTTGTCGGTTCTCATATGTACGCGTATTTCTATTGGCGGTATTGCAACGACGAAAGTCGTACTAGCAGCCTAGCACGTAGGAGTGTTACGGAGTTTATTTTATCACATATACCATTTGAAGAAAACGTGTGACATCACGCCGTATCTTTCTTGGTATCAGACGAACCGGCCACAACGTTTGGTGAAGGCGACGTCGTCTTCCTTGGCCGGGCATCTTCCCTATCCTATCCCAATCGCGGTGGCCCCGGCACCGGGAAGCTGCCGAGCCCGAGCGCATGGTGGAGTTTTTCCGGGGAGACAAGCGGGAGCCGGCGCTGCTGCGCCATGCATGCTTGACGACAATGGCGTCTTTCGGACAAGGAAGTACTCACTCCATCCCTAAATATTCATTTTTCGAGAAACAACTTTGACTAAATATATATTAAAAGATATTAATATTTATGATACATAATTAGTATCATTGGATAGATATTTGAATCTAGTTTTTTTAATAAATTTATTTAAAGATAAAAATATTATATATTTTTTTATAAATTAAGTTAAAATTATTGGTATGTAAATGGTGTCGATGAATATTAAGGGACGGAGGGAGTACTGCTGTTTGTCATCGTGGTAGAGAGCTTTATGGGTCCTAAAAACTGAAAATTTTCTCACAGCTTTTCAGGCGACGAAAGGCACGACAGGCGCGTGGATAAGCGCATCCATCGCTCGTCATCATCGGCCTTGCCTTTTACGTGGTTTTTCACTTTTTCACCGTACGCCGTACGTACGTAGTACGTGAACTCATGCTCATGGGCCATGCCATGTTACCAGCTTACAGTAGTGCTTTCGGGGAAAAAGTCATTTCCCTCTGTATCTGTATGCTACCAGGAGTAGAAGTTGTACACTTGTACTTCCGCTTTCCGACGGCACTCCATCCCCTACTATACGGCAGTACGTCGGTACATACGTACCTACGCAGTAGCTAGTACATGCCGTGCACGGTAACAAGATTCATACGTACCCTCTGTAATTGACCCGCGTTGCTGCCCCTTCCCTTCTCAGTTCTCACCTTCTTCTATCTTCTTCGAGCGAGAGCATGGGTGCATTGCCTCGCATGGTTATCCTATCATCCAGACCAGAGCAAATGCGAGGAAAAGGATACGCAAGGCAGGCAGGCAGGCAGGCAGGCCGGTCACTGGTGGCTGCGTTGGCATATGGATATGGCAGGCTGCCATTCGGCCATCCCCACACTGGAATCAAGCAAGCTATCCTGTTCAAATGGGATGACTCGTAGTCGTTCTTTATCGCGCGGGGTCTCTATCCGACGGCTGTTCCAGGACAGAGGATGGGCATGGAGCGGGTGTACAAGTTGAGCAGGGCCGCCCGGGGCGGACCCGACGCGCATTGCCGCTCTCGTGTGCAAGCGACAATCTCGCTCCTGCACACACGAGATAGACAAACGCTGTGAGGCTGTGACCCAGCCGATGCCGAGCGAGCGCCGCCCCTGACCGCGCACGCTTCGGGGCAGCTAGCCGGGCAGGACAGATGGGTCACGGCCGGTCCGTTCCAGTTCCAAATCAGCCTGCCGCAGCAAGGGCCAAGGGCGCGGGGCGGAAGGCAAGCGGACTCGGCCGGGCCATCCGTCCCCATTGAATCCCGGTCCGCGTCAGCGCAATATGATAGTAGTATCCACCCTGTTCACTTTATTGTTTTTTTTACTTATAAACCGGCTGATGTTGTTTTGTTATGAAGAGAAAAATGTTGTAGTATGACTGATACGATCAAGCGAACAGGTGATCTTCTACGACTAGCTCCGTCCATGCCGGGGCATGCCTGAGCCCGACACCTCGACGCAATAACACCCATCGATCAGCGCCCCGTTCGTTTTGGTTTATTTGGCTGATAAGCCATAACTGAAAGTACTGTTGACTGATTTGGTATGAGAAAAAAATACTATTCGTTAACTGATAAATCATAACTTATAAAACTTATAAGTCATTCACGATCAAACCAACAGGCTGCGGGACCCCCGGCCCCGGTCCGCGCGCGCGTACGTGCCTTTGGTCGCCAGCACCGCACCGCACCGCACCAGGTCGAGGGCGCCGCTAGCTCACGGAGGCGCGCGCTCTCGGCCGCCTGTCGCGCCGCACTCGTCGACGGACCACGCACACACGCTCCGATTCGGGGTGCATCCGTGGATCCCGTGGGTGGCATTGCCACCGGACCGCCGGCGCGGCGCCGTTTTCGGCAAGCTGGGAGGAGCCGCGATGATTGATGGGCCAGCTTTGGTCTTATTAGTCGGATGCTGCGGCGAATGATTTGGTGCGAATAATGGCGGACGGAGACCGGGTGGGTGTCGGGTCGTCGTCACGGCAATCGGCAGGCTTGCATGCATGCATGCATGCATGGAATCGGAAGCAGCGATAGCGAGTTTTGCAAGCTGTAGCGAGAGGGATGTCCTTTGGTTGGGTGCGTACGTGGCCTGGGATTCATCTGAATTCTGAGGCCGCTACATCCTGCCTGAGATTGACCGATCCAATCGAACGACCGACGAGCTAGTTGGACTTGTCTTCTCTGCTCCCAGTCCACCCCTCTGCATGCATCGCCATATATCTTGGACGATTGCACGTGCTCCTCTATCATGTTATACAGTATATTCTATAAATTTTAAGATAAATTAAGAGGGAACATAAAAGACGTATGTATCTATCGGATACCATAAAAAGGGTATCCTCGGCTCTTTACACTGTCAACGCACAGCGACCGGCACGTCGTCGGTCATGCCCTGCGCCAACCTATCACTGGAGCTCCCACGTCGCACAAGATCGGGTGTGACCGGCTCGTTGCTCCAGTGCATCAAGGACAAGACCGTTCCGTTGACCATGCCGCCACAGTGGTAAGCTACAGGACTCAGGCACGCCACCTCCGCTCACAAGACGCTGCATAGCAAACACATGTATCACCCCTGTCCCCCCTTCAACTATAAAAGGAGAGACCGGGACCGTTTCTAGGGACAGGAAGATAGACGAACACTCGCATAGGCTCACGTAGATTCAGACACACGCTCCCCCGCAGCCTGAGAGCAACGTCTCAAGCAGCCCGCGCCGCTCCACGCAGAGACCTGAGACTAGCTCCCTCTCTCACCCAGTTTGTAACCCCCTACTACAAGCACTTGATTGCAAGGAATACAAGATCGATCTCTCGGTGGACGTAGGGCACCGATTGCTGAACTAGTATAAACCTTGTGTCTCTTTGCATCACCATCCGGGATTAGGGCACGCAGTTCAAATTCACATTGGGCGCGACTTGGTCGGGGTCTTTGTCGGGAATTTTTTGGCACATATCGTGCGCTTGAGGAACTCCTAGGACCTCAAAAGTTGTC